CTCCTCCTCCTCCCTCTCTAGCAGTTTCTTTGCCCACTTGTCCTTTGAGGGACCCTCGGGGTGTTTGCCTAGCTTGCCTCTTAGAAGAGACGCTGACACGAATTGGGATTGCAGACTCTCATATGGTGGTGACTTCCTCTCCTCTGGATGTGTCCCCACAAGAGAACCAGGGGTCCTATATCTTATGGAGCTTCATCAGCAAAATCTTTGAAGTACTCAACTCAGTAGCAAAAACCAAATAGCTTGATTAAAAAATGGATGAAGGATGTGAATAAACATTTCTCCAAAGAGATACAAAAATGGTCAACAGAAGGATGCTCAGCAACATAAACCACCAGGGAAATGGAGTCAGAACCACACCGAGCCACGGCTTCACACCTGCAGAGAGACAGGCCCTCCTCCCTGGACGTGGAGATGAAACGGGATTACTGCTTCACACCAAGGTGCTCTTAAAATTAATTCATTCATTTAAATTCACAAGTAAGGCTCGCAGGTGCTCACAGTGTGCAGCACTATGTTTTGGTGCAGGTGTACCTCACAGAAGGGCTCCGTCAAGCTTCCTGACATGCATGAACTCAGACTCACTGGTGCAGAGAAGACTGAAAATCCGCTCTTAGCAACTTTCAGGCACCTACAGATAAGAGCGTCTTGCTACCAACTGCAGTCATGGTCAAGTGCAACAGCTCTGCTGAACGTCCTTCCTCCTGACCCCTGAGATCTGTCCTGTGACCTACATCTCCCCATTATTTCCTCTTGGGTTTAATTCCTATCTAGGAATTTGTCCATTTCATTTCATTTGCCAAAATTGTTAGCTTAAAATCGTTCACAGAACTCCACTGTGATTCTGTTTTAAATGGCACTGGAGTAAGCACTACATCAGATTAAGCACCGGAAGGTGAGCCACAGTGTGGGGAGCATGTCCCATGCTGTCTGAACCGACCTCTATTCACTTCCAGAGCAGCACAGCAAAAGGGAGTCCCTCAGCTGCCAGGAGCTGCTCCCAGCTCCCTCTGCCCTTGGCAGCTGCAGTTCAGGCTGGGTGCTGTGTGCAGGTTTTACCACGATGGATCTTTCACTAAGTGATACCACACACTACATTCTTTTGTGTTCAGTTTCTTTCACCCACTGTAATGATTGTGAGGCTCCCAATTGTAGCATATGTCAGGATTTCACTCCTCTCGATGGCTGAATAACATTCCATTCCACCACACTGCTTACCCACTCATCAGTTGATAGCTGCTGGCTGTTCCCACCTTTTGGCCATGTGAACAGTGTGAATACCAACATGTGTGTTCAGTACTTGGTTAGGTACTTACTATGGCTAATATCTATGTGTCCCCCCAAAGCCTCATGATCATAGGTGGGGCTTCTGGGAGATTGAATCATGGGTGTGTGACACTGGAGCATGGGTGTGGAGTACTGGATTAGTCCACTGATGGGGTGAATATCTGGGTGTGATGTTGGGGGAGGAAGCCTGGTAGAAAGAGGTAGGTCGCTGTGGGCGTGACCTGTGGTTATATATCCCTCATGTCCCTCGATCCTCTCACTGCCTCCTGCCTGCCCTGCCATGGACTGTTTCTCCTCTGCGACGCCCCTCTGCCATGCTGCCCTGCCTCAGAGCCAGCCAACCATGGACTGAAAAGTCTACAAAGTGTGAGCTAAGATAACCCTTCCCTCCTTCCAGTTGTGTGTGTCAGGTATTTTGTGCCGGCCATGAGAAAGTAACTAAGACAGTACCTGTTTCCCATTCTTGTGTAGACACCTCTGAGTAAGTTTGCTGGATAATAGCGTAATTCTATGTTTAAATTTCTGTCTATAGCCCCAAGTTAAAATTGTTTCCACAGTGGCTGAACAATTTCACATTCCTGCCAGCAGGGTATGAGTGTTTTCAGTTTCTCCACATATTCACCACTCCTTTTTAATCAATAGCTTTAACTGCTGTCTCCCTCCCAGCATGGAGTGGGCTCCCACTGTGTTCAGATGGGTTTTTTGATGATTCTGATCATTTTGTCCTGTGCTCAGCCAATTGGAAGTCTTCTTTGGAGAAATGTCTATTTAAGCCTTTACTCTGTTTCCCAACAGGTGGGATTTTTGTTATTGAACCCTAAGAGTCTTCAAATATTAGGGATGTGATTTTATACAAAATCTTTTTATTCCTATAAGGTTGGTGGTAATGTCTCTTCTTTCTTTCTGGATTTTAGTGATCTGAGTTGTATCTTTTCCTCTTCATCAGTTTTTAAAGTTTAACCATTTTGGTTATCTTTTCAAAGAGCCAAGTTTTCCTTGAATTACTTTCTCTATAGCTTTTGTATTCTGTATGTCAATTCTGCTCTTTTCCCACACAAGGAGCTGTGAGGATGAGCTGAAGTCCCAGATGCTAAAGGACCTTTACAGATGCCCTGTGTATAAGCAGTTACAATCTGATGCCCACTGGGTTTCTTCTTGTGGAAGAGTGGTGCCTTGCTCAGCCCTTGTTCCATTTTTGTGCCCAGAGTGAATGCGCCTGAGTATCTGGTGAATGTTACAGTTAGAGAAGGATGTCTTTATTTCCTGTCATCTCCCTTGCAAGTCCCCTTAAGACTATAAGCTCCCATAACTGTCCTTGTGCCTCAGACATCCCGTGTGCACAACACTGTCATCCGACTGACTGTCCAAGGTGAATCTGCCTCCATGTCAACTAAAATGAAGAGGGCAAAAAAGTTGAGAAGTCAAAAGTAGTAAAGTAGCTAGGAGACTGTCCCTGGTGCTTTAGAGACAAGGGCCGTCCTGTCCTTCTGGTTTCTTTATGATGTCTGCAGCTGTCTGGAGAACACAGCACATGGATGTAGATGAATATGGAATTCGCATGGCACACACCGGGGCCCAGTAACTCTGCCTACTGTTCAGTCAATGCCACCCTGGAGGCCACCGGGTTAATGCCCCTGGGCTGCTGGCTCTGCCTCTACAATGACTGCAGGGGTGATTTGGCCTTTGGAACACATGTGCAAAGCAATTGGTTCTTCCCTTTAAAGATTATTGGGGGCCAGAAAAACACATTGCTCTCTCTGTTCAAATACATTTGTAATGTTTAAGCCACATGCGACCTTTTAATAACTCACATTTTCAAAAATAAAAAGGAAGCAAAGATCAACTCTCACGCAGGACCATTTTTTTCAAGCAGCCCTAGTTATGTAATGATTTTTTTCTTTAATATTTTAAGCTTTCTGCCCTCTTGTAGGGGAAAGAGAAATGTCATCCACCCACTAATTGGTTCAAAGCAGCTCTCTCTTCCCATCCTAAGCCGTGTCCCTGGTGAGAGGAACAGAGCTGTCACCTGCCTCTCTCACTGCACAGGGATGAAGGGGCCGAGGGAGGGTCCAGGGTCTTATTCACCGTCACTGCCCCCACCACCCCACCCGAGACAGAACAGCACTCAGCCCCTGACCATGACGCTGCCTTTCCCTCCAGTCGACCTCGGGAGAACAGCTGCCTGGCGGGTGTGGCTGGGACACGAAGTCTGCACCCCAGCATATAGGAGGAGGCTGACTTGGGCTGGTGATCCAGGGGTTCAGCCCACAGGCGCTGGCTCTGAGCCAGAAGTGGCACGGCGGGAGCCTAATGGAAGAAAGCTGCTTCCTTCCTGGCACAGGGAGACAGAGGAGGGACAGGAAAGGTGATGGTGATGCAGGGCCACGCGGTGCAAGTCAGGAGAAAATCAAACACCAAATGCTAGAAATGTGGACATCAGAGCTCTGAAGGGAGGGCCGCTGTTCACCGCTGCCACTGCCCTGCGGCATGGTGTGTGTCCTGGTCCTCCTGGACTCCTACACTCAACGGCAGCTGTGTTCACCTCATGGGCACACATGCACACACTCCCTGTCTACACACGTTGGCCGCGGGGACTGCCCAGCTACCCTGCCTGCATCGCCAGACCCTGCTCAGAGGCATCTCCAGGGCAGGGGACACAGACTGCTCCCTGGACTCTTGTTTTGAGGGTTTCATCCTGTCAAGAACACAGATAATAAACACTTCTGGGGGGGGGGGGGCAGGGCTGGGGATTGAACCAGGCCCTCCATACTGAGCTACACCCCCAGACACGTTTATTTCAAGACAAGCTCTTGCTCAGTGATTAAGCTGCCCTGGATGGGCCTGAACTAGCCATTCTCCTGCCTCAGCCTCCCAGAGTGCTGGGATTACAGGCATGAACCACCATGCCCTGGCACATTTTACTTTACATTTTACTCCTCTTCTGCTTGCAAGTTCTTCATCTGAATTTCCAATTTGACTATTGTGGTTTTGCTTTTTAAAATGAGATGCTGTATCAATATCACCTCCATTTCTATCCATTCTGCATTAAGTTCCCTACTTGATGCTGGCTTCAGCTGTTGCCTGAATGGATTTATATTACTTTCTCCAAGAAAGAGGTGGGCAGGGAAATGAGAGCATATTGCCATCCTGAGACGGGAGCACTCTCCATTCTGAACCCTGTGTCCTGGTGGCAGAGGCAGGAAGATGCCACAGCCAGGTTCTGGTCATGGCCACATGTGTAAACACAACACAGATGGCTTTTCACTCACAACAGATCACATGTAATTCAGGGCCTCTGGGAATCTTGATGGGCTGTGAGTAGCCACTGTTTATGGATGGCAGCTCATCTGAGAGCCTCACGCCGTGCGTGGTGACAATAGGAGGACGCTGCCTGGCACTCACTGAACAAGCTGCAGGCAGACTGGGCAGGCATGGGGCTCAAGGACAGCAGCTAAAGTCTGAAACCAGACTTCTGCCCTGCAGCTGCCTCTGGCCCTCTGTATGAGGAAGGAAACAGCAGTGTCCCTCTGGCGCTGAAAACGCCATCCGGCCAGTGTGTCACAATGGCCCCAGCCACCCCGCCGTCCTGTGATTACCACAGGCATCAGTCCCCGCACACAAGCACCAGGAGCTGAGATGCAATGCGTGCTGTGAGGACCTGGCTGGCAGAAGACCTGGCTCACAGGCACTGGAGACACCAAGATAGCATGAGGGTCACTGGGCATCAGGAGACTGCAGGGTTTGTGGCTGGACCCAGCCCTGGGAAATGCTCGCTCCAGGGTGGACGGAGGCCCTCGGGGCTGTGAGCCCAGAACAGGAAGCCTGGTGACACCAAGCTCACGAAGAGGCTGAGCTCAGGTCTCTGAAGTGTCCCTGAGCCAAGGCAGGTCAGGAAGGATGCAGAGGGGCAGCAGCAGGGACAACCAGGTGAGGGGCAGGATGGTGAGGAAGGGTCATGACTGCTGACCCAGAAAACACCATCACCAAGAGCCACAAGGAGCAGCCCACAGGGCTGCAAGAAGGGCTGTCCACAGCCTAGGGAGCACAAGGGCTGGCCTGCTCGGGGCCACGTGCCCTCAGGGGCCAGGGAAGACAGGATCCTCATGATGACCCACTTCATCCAGGCCAGGACTTAGGAACCTAGCTCACCTTGCTACCAAAACCTGAGATATCACAAAAGCCTACTCAAAATCTTATTTATTGCTGAGATACTGGTACTATGTCTTCTGTGCTATGCAACATAAATGAGACAAATACAATGCAGATTTAGTCTGGGAAGCTAAGGATGCTATAACATTAAGCAAACAATGTTTCTTTCCACGAGCGTGTCACAAAATACACACAGCCTGTCCTCTGCCAAAGCTGAACACCACACACAGGGCTCCCCAAGGTCCTGCCATAGCAGGAGGCACCAGGTGTCTCATGGAACCAAGAGGCAAACTAGAAGAGTCAAGAATGCAGCAAAGTTGGCCAATGATGCATTGGCTGAAATACATACAGAAACAGAAAGACACGAGGAATACTGCGCATAAACCTCAATGACGAGTACAGAGCACAAAGCAGGACGACAAGGACGCTTTCAAGACAGAACTGGGAGCATCCAGATTCATGCATGCAAGAGGGTCCAACCAGAGGCTTGCGGCTGCAAGGCTGGTACTGCTTGTTTCTCTCTAATTCAGAGTTGTGGATTGCTGCTATAATGTTGGCCGTGTGATTTTAAAGTGGGATATACATATTAGCTACTTTCACGATTTCTACATAGCTTCTGGCCAAGACAAATAGCATAAATGGCACTATCTTATGGGTTATTTTTGCTCTAGAGTAGAAATAATAGCACAAGAATAGGTGGCTTTCTAAACTGTCCTCCAGGTTCCCTCCAAGGCCCTCCCTTCAAATGAGGCTGGGGCCTCGGGGCTGGTGCCTTCCTCCTTGCTTGACTTCAGACCCACAGGGACGAACCTGGGTCTCAGTTGGTCCCAAGTGCTCAGTGCTCTGACAGCCCAAAGAGCAAGGATGGTGCAGCAGGTAGGATCTGCGGCTTTCCCCAAGGACAGAAATCACACCGGGCTCCTGCTTCATGAAGGGGAAGCAGGGGACCTGGGGTGTGAGCACTGCCTTGGGGAACGAGCAACTCACATGAAGAGGCAGCTGTGACATCAGCCATTTGTCTGCTCATGTTTTTAAAGAGCCACCAATGTTCACTAATTACTAAATGTGGAACATCCAGCCCCACTTTCCAGACATTGCTTCCTTCCCTCTGGGCCCACAGCACTGAAGTGGGCTGCAGTCAGAGCGAACCCCAGGGGGGCACCTCAGTCCCACCTGGCAGTGCCACTTTGGGCTGCCTGCTTGACCACTCTGAGACAAGGGAGCTCTGTCTGGAAAGCCGAGGACCAGGTGAGAACAAGAGGCTGAGACCACACCCGCTGTGTGAACATCAGCTTCCCCACCCAGAGCGCAGAGGCCACAATGATCTTGAGTGTCCAAGAGAGCAGCCTGCAGTCCCCAGGGCCTGGGGCAGCATCACGGGAAGGAAATGCTGCTCCACCATGCCCACCACAGACACAGACTTCTACACCAAGCATCTCGGGCCTCTGACTTCTGCAGAAACTGCTGGCAATTCTGTTGCTTCTCCTCATATTCCTGTGGAGGCAGGGGTACAGGCAAATTCGTGAGAAGAAAAGGATGTGGCTGAGACGATTCTGTGCATCCCCTCCACTTCCAGAGTCAGGACAAGGTGCCCACCTGCTGTCCCGGAAGGAGAAGGCTGTGTCCTCATGTGCAGTGACAGGGAGAGGACAGAAACATCGAGGACTTGTGTATCTGATGCTGAGGTGTATTAATTCTTCATATTCACTCTCCAAAAACTGCACCATGAGAAGGTTCTAATGCAAATAAGGACACATGGTTTTGGTTTCAGATAAGAATTTTTGTTTAAAATTAGATGTTATGCTGTATTCTTAGCTTTTTTTTTAACAGATTGAACCCAGGGCCTTGCATTGGGTTCAGTCGCTAATTGCTGCTAAGTTACCCTGGCTAGGCTCCAGCCGCAGTGCCCAGACTGCAGGGTTTACAGGTGTGCACCGCTATGCCCAGATGCTCTTGGCACATTTTAAGTGAAATTACATGATTGGCAAAATCCCGGAAGGATGAGTGCGGCACCTTCCCAGTGTGTTGCTGTGGCCCTGTAATCATGGCTTGGCCCTGAACACACGAGGGCCAGGCTGGGTTTGTTCATCGTGACACAAGACAGGAAGCTGAGACAATTCACTGGAACTCTGCACTCTGCACCTTCAAGCTGGTAGGTGGAGATGTTGAGTCAATGCTTCCAGGCTGGTCCTGAACTGTGAAGCATCAAAGAGTTGTATATGTGGCATCCAATAACTCACTTCTACAGAATCTTAAATTCCACTGAACTAGGACATCACATGATGTAGGCCTAGCACAGGGGCAAGCTTGTTAACCTTCCTACCTGGGGCAGAGTCACTGAGAGGACTTGCTGCTATTCTCTAAGCCTCACCTGGCCTGTGGGACAGAAGTGGAGCCCTGAAGAAGCCTGGGTTCAGGTTCTCCTCTGAGTTTGCCCCAGAGCACACCAAGTGGCAGCTACAGGACTGGACCCCACAGCCCTGAGCCAGGCTCCAGTCAGATCCCCACAAACATGCAGGGTTAATCTCTTGGTTCACAAAACACCAGAACTGAGCTCGGAGGATGGGAACCTTTCGGGGGGAGCTCAGGACCCCCACGCTGTGCAGGAGTCTACAGGAAGAGGCAGCCCCAACTCAGGACTGCAGAGTTCCCCAGACTAGGACAATGTGAAGCAGTTAGAAATTATAATGTAGATGGTAAAATGACCCCGTCAGAAGGGAAAATCAGTAAGTAGTGTCTAAAAACATCTGGTTTAGAACTCAATGACTTAAGCTGCTGGAAAAATCAGACAGTGACTATCAGGGACAAGGAATGAAATGTTTAAGGCAACAAACACTGACTCAAGCATGCTTAAGAATACATCAATCCCAAATAACTAGAAATATTTAGAAAAGAAATGGTGTATTCAGGAAAACTATAAGTACTGAAATTTAAAACTTCAGTAGAGAATGTGGACATCAGATTGGACATAGCTGAACAAAGACTCAGAGAACTGGAAGACAAATTTTCTAAAATTACATGAAATGCAGCCTGCAATGCCTATGAATAAGAGACAAACGAAAAGGCTGCTGTCTGTCTCACGGAGGCTCTGAAAAGAGAACGTAATAAATCCTAGACAGTTAGTATTCAGGAAATTAATCTCAGAGTTTTCCAGAGTCTTTGAAAGACAGGAGTCACCAATATGAAGAAACACAGCTTGTACCAAACAGGACAAGAGAAAATTGTTCCATATCTTGACATTAACAGCAAGGACATTAGCAAAAAGGTGGATCCTCTGGGAGGATCAGCATCACTGAGAAGCTTTGGTGAAACTTGTCATGGCCTCTGGAAAGCCCAGCCCAGAAAATTCACCTCTTCAGTGCTCTGAGAGAAGATGCACATCAGCTCAGGACTCTGTGCCAGGAAAAAAAGTCGAATGAGAATGATGTGGAATTATTTTCAAATAAATAAAATGGAGCATTTATTACTAAGAGATTTTTGCTGAAGAGGTGGTCAAGAACACACTTCAGGGAAGAACAGCCCCGAAGGAAGGTGTGTGGGGTGAGGGGAAGGTGAGCAGGGAAATCAGAAGCCAGGCAGGTGAATGTGGATTGGAGGTCAGCATACAGTAACAGTGATGTTCTGGTTGATGGGTAGGCTGAAAACATGGAACTGAGTTCCCTCTGGCCAGAAGGAAGCATCAGAAGTAAAATGGCCTAAGGCCCTGGTGTTATCTGGGGGTAGGGAGAGGGGACTTCGGACTAACTGCCTTTAAATTCTCGGAATTATCCAAGTGGGCATCCTGGGTTCCTTCTGCACCCATCAAGTGCACCCACCTCCTCCACTCCTGACCTCTGTCCCGGAGCCACGAGGGGCGAATGGACCAAGGCAGGACCTGGTCAGGGAGCGGGCGGAGAGGCCTGGTGGCCCTCAGGCAGGACTTCCCGCCTCGGCCCCAGGCGATGGCCCACTGGTCCCAAGCAGGGACACTGCTCTGACTGAGGATCAGAGAATAAGAGGAAGACCAAGGTGCAAGACAGGATCTTCCAGCGAGGCCAACATATGAGGGACTTCAGGCTGGAAACAAAACGCAGGCTCAGGGTGAACTTCAGAAACCCAGCTGCGAATAAGGAATGTGAGCCCCACAGCCATCTGTGCTGGGTGCCGCTTTTATAGCTGCTACTGACCCCAGGGTCTCCCAGACCCAGCACTGTGGAAAGCTGTCTGAAGAGGAGTGGGCAGATGGTGAACTCCAGCGGGGCAGGGCTCAGGCCCCTCAGGCAGCTGCGGCTTCCTCTAAGGGCAAGTGTCTCAACACCAAGACGGTGTGGGCAGCCCTGGCCATCACCTTGCTGCCAGACTAAACTTCCTCGGCCACCGCTCCCGCTCTGTGGAGCTTTGGCCTTGATAACTTCTCCCTTCCACCCCGAGCCCCGGGGCCGGCCGCTGCTTCCAATCCCACCACATCACTTCCCTCACCACCTCCTCCTCCTCTCAGGCCCAGCAGGCACAGAGGACCCTGCCAAGGGTGCCCGGGGAGAACCCTACGCCAAGGCTTCCTTCAGAGGACCCTGCCAAGGCCACCGGGAGGAGCCTGTTACTGTCCACGCTGGGCCCAGCACACCCCTCATGTCACACGAAGTAACTACTATCACGTACACGTACATACAGGTGTCTTCTCTGCCCTGATTCCAGAAGTGAAAGCCAAATTGAACATATGATGCTATAAAATGCCCTGCCTGGGCCGCACAACCACTAGCTGGTTCACCCTGGACGCAGAGCCAGGCCGGCTCCATCCATGAGTGCCTGCTCCACTGCCCACCCGCCTGGCCTTTGCTCTGCTCACCCAGATGTACCCCTTCCACGGGGCTGTCATGTCCCCTCCAGCGGCTCTGATCTCAGAGGGGACCTGGCTGCGCCCTGTTGCTGTTTTCGCTCTCTCTGCCCAACACTGCAGGACACGGAGCCAAGCTAAGTGCTCCCTGTGTGGACACCTATGACCACATTATCCAGCCCTGTTGTCTGGACTCTGATGTGTGGGCATGGTTTTGCTGCCAGTCAGAACCCTCTGCTGACCCGGGCGGTCCCATCTGCACACGTATGAAGGCCTGAGGAGGGAGATCCACAGCTGCCCTGGGGAGGTGTCGCCCATGCCAACACCCACTTGGAGGCTGCTCTTCTGTCCCTACCTGAGGGTGCACCTCAGCCCTCAGAACGAAGGCACCAGCTTCCAGGTGATGCCGGCCGGGAGAGGCTAAGACTGGAGAACAGAGGGGCGTGTGCTGACGTGGCTGGGAGCAGGCCAAGGAGAGAGGGCTTGGGACACAGCGCTAACTCGGGGCGTGGCCCCCACACCCTCTGGATGTGGCTAGGACTTCTCACTAGTCAGGTGCTTTCAGGTGAGAGAATGAACGACACAGGAAACCTTGGGGAAGCCACTCCATGAAAGGGCCCTTAGACTCTGCTTGAAGGCCGGTGAGGAGCCACATTCCCAGTGAGATGAAATGCACTTCGAAGGGCTCTTTGGAGAGACCGTCTCTCCCGAGGGCTGATGTTCTCAGATCAGAAACCTGCGGCTATAACAACTGCAGTTGCGGTGCAGATGGCTGCATCTCCACAGGTCACAATAACACGCATTTCATCCCAAAATGTCAGTGTGAGGCAGGCCTGGGTACTCTGGGGCAGCAACCACCTCCTACCAACCAGTGGCCCTGAGGCCACATCTCCTGTGTCATGGCGCGGATCTCGAGAGGCCCCCAAACCTCATGGGCTTGGAAGCTGAGTGGATTCTGGGGCTACAGGAAATGTGCTGTTAGGAAGTGGGGCCTGGTCAGAGAAGGCGGCCATGGGCCATGGCCTGGAAGGGTGTGCCTCCCTGTCACTCCCCTCCCTCTCTGCTTCTTGGCCGCCATGCTGTGAGCAGCTTTCTCCTCTGCCTGGTTCTCCTGCCAAGCCCTCCTGACTGGGAGCAGCCACCATGGACTGAACTCTCTACAGACCATGAGTCAAGATACAGCACTACTCTTTATCATATCTCACCGATGGCAAATCCACTAAGCCAACCTGATCACCAATAGGTCCACTGGCCAAATGCGTGCAACTGCCACCAGGGAGCCCTGGGACTACCCCGTGCCATGCACCCCATGTCACAGGTGGCTGAGCACGTCCTTGGGACCTAACTGCCAGGAGAGTGGACCAGAGGGTCCTGCAGGAGTGTGTGTCTCCACTACAGCCTGGGACCGTGGGCTGTGAGGCCCCCATGGCTTCCCAGCTTCTCCAGGAGTGGGCTGAGTGGTGGCAGATTCGCAATCTAGAATTCACCACTCCCTCCCATTTATTGGCCCCCATAAGCCACACTTACAGTGCACGGGCAGCTGCATGACGACCTGGGGAGGGTCTGATGATCAGAGTGACACATGAGCTGATCTGCCTACTCCACCTCGCACCACGGGCTCCTGTCTGCTTGTTCCTGATGGTGCCTCTGTGAGAATGACCCTCACACAGACCTAAAGCACAGCAAGGCATACGCACGCACCTGTGCACTCACCCACACATGTGCACTCACCCAGAGTGCATGCACACCGTTTGTTCTCGGGAGAACCCTGAGAGCCACTCAGGCTCCCTCCTGAGGGCTGGCACTGCTGCCGGGCTCCAGCCACACCCCTGCCCCCCTTGGCACTTGGTGCCCTGGCCCACAGGTTCCTCGCCAGCCTGGCTACGTCCCCTGTAGGACTGGGGCACATCACGCCTCCTGCGTGGACTAAGCAGGGCCTAGGACAGTGATGATGCGCTGTGACCATGACGTGAAGCCCACCCCTCTGCAGAAGTATGTGTGACAGAGCTGCAAAGCGACGGCCCAGCAGAGTCAGTAACTATGTGGCTCCTAGCTCCCTGGGTCTGGAGACAAGTTCCCGAGACCCTGCCTCACACCACCTGTCCCAGGTAGACCCCAGGCCAAGGCAGCCATGCAGTGGACATTGTCCCAGAGGTCCGGGAGTCAGCTCAGGGCTAGAGTCAAGCCAGGCCATGGAGGAGCACCCAGCAGGCTTCAGGATGGACACATGTCATGGTGTGAGTGGCAGCACCACTGATCCTGTCAGAACAACGTGGGGCTGGACTGTCCTCAAGGAAGGATGCTGAGCATACAGGGTTAACACGCACCCAGGACAAAGGAAGAGCAAGGGGCTGTGGGCTGTGCTCAAGGACAAAAGGTCACGTAGCGCCCTGGAGCGGGAGGCTGGGAGGGACAAGGCTATGAGGAGTCAGTCAAGGCCCTCAAGGAAGGCACTGAAACAGAGTAGGTGAAGCCACTGCTGCTGTGGGGACCCAGGCCATGGAGGAAGGTCCCCAGAGAGGGAGTCGCCTCTCCAGGTGGGATGGCCGACCAGACTGCTTCTCTGCCCCACGGGGTCTCCTGTGCTCAGTCAGGGTCATTGGGACGGCTCCATATAGTTTCCATGGGGAACATGGGGGACCCCCCAGTGACAGAACTGACACCCAGGTGGACAGACAGACCGTGGGGTCCTCTGACCAGGTGACCACACACCACAAGGGAAGGGCACAGCTGCCACGCTCGGGCCACGGACCAGGTGACACGGAGAGGACACTTAGCCTCCCCAAGACCCAGCCTGCTCTTCACCCACATGTATACACAGTGGTTCCCACCCTGGTCATGCACGCTTTCAGCCGGGGCAAAGCTATGGGACCAGACTGTCCTGAACCGACCCTGAGAACAGTGAGCGGTGGGGAGCACACTCCCTCTTGTGGCAGTGGCATGGTCACCGGCAACAGGAAGTCCAGTGCTGGGACTGAGATCATGGGCCAAGGGAAGGAGACCCAAACCCTGTCTCAGCCCAGCGCTGACCCAGCCGTGGCCCGGATCAGCCCAGCCTGTGACCACGTCTGGCTGAGGGCTCCCTGTGTCCCTGTGACCCTGCCCTGCCTAAGTCCTCGCTGTGTTACCTTCCCTTACCCGATTTCTCATCAGAAATTTTAACATGTCCACTGACTTTAATGTGCGCTCTCTCCTACAGTGATAGAATGCCATTTTTCACCAAGTATGAAAAAGAAAATTGCTACACAAATTGATAGCAAAATACCTAACAAGGGGAAGGCTTAATGCTCAAGTATTGGTATATCCATATTTATTCATTAAAGTGAGTTCCAGAACGTCATCTATTCAGCGGTGCTCTCAATTACTCCCACTTAAGGTGAAGAGATTAAAGCTTTGTTTCTGTGATGCTATTCAACGTCCCTGGATCTTCTCCACACTTCAGACCCCTGCGTGTGTGTGAAATTCTCTCAACTGGTTCCACAGTCTTACTGTTTCACATGGCTCCTACCGGTGGTGGTGAACCTCTGGTACACATGCTGAAGCCAGCTGTCCGTGTCAGAGAAAGCTCCACACGGTTAGCCTCTGCTGGCGCACACCCTCCAGCTGGAGCCATCCTGAAGTCTCGGGCGCCCTCTCTGCTCTCTCCTGTGATCTGTTGACCAAAGCTTTCAGGAGCAAACCCAGGATTCAAGTTGAGGCCTCGTGGGTGCCAGGGACACACTCTGCTCCCTGAGGGGCACAGCAGGGACTGCTGGTTCTGGGGGACACGGGCTGTGGACAGCACACACACCCAGCGCTGGGCCTTACCGTGCAGCACCTGGCACATGAGTGGGGCTTCCCTGGGGATCGAGGAGCTGCCCGGGAGCCTGGCTTGCTGCGTTCCCAGAATGGCGGAGTCGTGCTGCACATGCCCATCCAGGGAAAGGGAAAGCTCAAATCCGCCGATGGCCGAATGTGTGTCACTTTTGCACTGCAAAGTCAAAGAAGCCCAAGTGGACTGTCTCAGCCTCCTTATCCAGAGGAGCTGCACAGCGGATGGATGAACTCACAGCTTCTGTGTGCCTACCTCGAGGTCAGAGGAAGCCAGTGGGTGACAGTCCCCGGGCAAGGTCCCCGCCACTCCTGCAGGCCCTGAGGGGACACTGGCACTGTGCTCAGGGAGCAAAGCCCAGCAGCGAGAAGTCCTCCCCCGCAGGAAGCTGCACAGCCCCTCCTGCCACGTTCATACCTCACGAACTCCACCTGCCGTGAAGCTCAAGGAGCACAGGACAGCCCGGAGGGTGTTCCTGCTAGCGACAGCAAACTCCCCAGGACATCCGGGGCTATTCCAACACAGGTTTATTAAAAATGAGACAAAAAGCTGCCACCCATCAACGCCACCTGAAGTCTACAGCAGGGTACACGAGCGCTTCCGCACTGCACTCAGGTGAGCACACCCGGCCCAGTGCAGCCGCCCCCCCCAATGCCCACGCTCAGGTGCCTGCTGACAAGCAGCTGCGTCCAGACTTCCTGGGGCCCTGCAGCACAGCTGAAGCAGTCTCCTGTAAACTTTACTGGGTGTGTTGACATTCATTGATTGGCTTGCCCAGAAGGAACAGGCTGGCCGCTAATTGAAATTACTTTTGCAAAATTTAACAGGCAGCAGGGTGAGCTTCACATGTGTGGAGCGTTTCTATTCGACTTGGCTCCAAAGATGCTGCTCTTGACTATGAGGCTGGGTGTGGGACTCCCTGGCGTGAGGCCAGGAGGCTGCCCTGCTCAGGGTGAGGGTGAAGGCCAGGGCCAGGCACACCAGGCGCTCTGGACGGTGATGACACAGGCTTCCCATCCCTCCCGCTGCCCGGTCCCCGCCCACTCTGTTCCTTGGAGGATAATTGCCTGGGACCCCAGCGTTCCTGCCCCCACGCCTCCGTGTCTGGCCCCGTCCTGCCCACGGTGTGGGGTCTCCCTCCCTCAGTGCCTCCCCGCCAGTGCTCAGCTCCCTGAATCTCCCTGCCACCCTGGGGGCCTCCACCCCTAGCCTGACTTTCCCTCTGCCTGAAACCCTCCCACCTCAGCCCCGCCAGGCAGCGCAGCCCTTCCCTGTCCCTGGGGGCTTTCTTCCAACTGCAGCTGCAGGTGGGTAGCCTCTGTCCGGTCCCCTGGGTTGAGACTGGGAGGACCACACCGAGCTCTGTGTGGGCAGTGGTCACCTGGCAGTGACGCTTCCCGTCCACCGGTGAAACAGGCATCAGAGGCTACACACAGGTGGCTGTGGGAGAGCAGCTCGGGCTCCTCCCTCTGCTCAGCACCTGCCGTGGGCAGGGCTGGGCTCACCTGGGAGCCCAGCCATGGCCTCTGTGTGCCAAGCCTCAGCTTTGAGGTTTAGCAGTGATTCCAGAACAAGGAGCTGTTGCTGGGCTGATCTCCCATCCAGCTGGAGGCTGGCAGAGTCTCGTCCTTCCTCGGGGCTGTGGCACGGCTGCTGGGCCTGTGGCCCGCAAAGCAGGTGGGAATTGGGGTGCAAAGACTGCTCCCCACTGGGCTGGGCTGCGGGTGCTGGGCAGAGCTGCAGGGGGCAGACGCCCCCTTCTTCCCAGTACTTTCCACCCCGAGCCTGTCCCCGTGTGGCTTGCCCTGAAGGACGGTGTGGAGCCCAGGGAACCATGCAGGACGGAGGGCGTCGGGGCCAGCGCGGGCTGGGAGCTCAGTGTGCAAGTCCAGGGAGAACCTGCTGGGGCCGGACGCCCACACCCTCCTGACCCCAACATCAGCCCAGTCATGAGGCCTCTGAGCTCGCACTGAGGCCCAACCCCTGGCCCAGCTGGTACCAGCAGCCCGAGGGACCTTAGCATCCCCCCATCACCTGAGCCAGCTTCCAGCACACATCTCCTCCACGCCCACCGAGGGACGGTCATGCAGCAGGAGCGTCATACCAGAGAAGGATGAGGCGAAGCCCCCATGCACACGGAGCTGCTGACTGCTTATCCCCAGTGGCTGAGTGAGGTGGTGGGCTTGTACAGCATCCACCAAACCCCACCAGGATGCCTGGCCACTTTCATTTTGTGAAAATGGAACGACGGCACTGCATGTTCCAAACCACGTGTTCTGAAATATGCTTTTGTCTCAAAGTTATCCTCCGGACCCCAAACGGCCCTGCCCAGGAGCTGCTGGTCTCTGGCGATGACTGGCTGTCAGACGATTCACTGGAGCACCCCAAACCTGCACAGCTGTGGAGCAGGCCACTCCGGCTTCTCCTTAGAGAGAGCAGCAGGCCAGGTGGCAGCTGCACAGGAGTCTGTGTGGCCCTGCCCTGAAGCCAACCTGGAGCCGGTGGAGACTGCAGCTCTCTGGGAGGCAGAGCACCTTGGAAAGTCAGGTGCACACAGCAGGGCACTGGGCCTGGGCTCTGAGGACCCAGGAGGGAGCCATGGAGCTGGCCCAGCTGCAAGGCCTCTCCCTGCTGTCCAGCGTGGAGCCTCAGAAGCCGCAGGAAGCACACACAGATGCCCAGCCACGTGATTTCCTCGAACGTCGGTGAACCTCACCGGTAAGAGTGCACCTGTGGCTCTGGACCTCTCCTGTCGCCCAGGGTGGGGCTGGCGGGGCTCAGGTGAGGCCCATGTGCTGCTGGGCTGTGAGGGACATGGCTCTGCCATGGGCTTGGGGCAGGGAGTCACGTGCTCCATGAGTCCTCATTATTTAAAGCCAGCTCTGGCATGCCGGCAATCCCAGCACTCTGGGAGGCTGAGGAAGGAGGAACACAAGTTCAAACCCAGCCTGAGCAACTTAGTGGGACTCTGTCTCAAATAAAAAGGTCTAGGGATGTAGCTCAGTGTGTAGGCCCTGGAGTTCAACCCACAATACAGAAAACATATAGACAAAAATACCAGCCCTGCAGTCAAATTGCTGGCTACAGAGCCTGAAGGACGATTAGGCATCACTCACACGGCTCGGTTTTCTGAAACTGAGGAGCTAAGGAAAAACCAGCAGGCTTTCTTTCCCTTTAACCTTTTCCCCAGCGCAGGCAGGGCCACCCTGGGAAATAGACACACCCTCCTCTGCCAAATGCTAGGGCAGCCCCGGCCCCGGCTCCAGGACCAGGAGACCCCACACCCACAGCCAGGGGCTGAGAGGCCGCCTTACTGACGGGCTGCAGGGCCAGCTGGCCACCTCCCTCCCGACTCCTTTACGCTTTCTGTTGCATGTACTGTTAGCACACTCCCTGGTCCAAGGGACCACCTCACTACAGCGCTGTTTGTGGTGAACGGAACCACAGTCTGAGGATGAGCAGGGCGCAGTGCTGGGGCACAGGCGGGCACACGTGGGCACCCGGAAGGGGCGGCCTCCAATGCTATCAAGCCCAGAAGGGCACGTGTACTGCAGGGGCCCCACGTGGCCAGTGCCAGCGACCGCCCAACAAGGAGAGCACCGGGCCTTTAAGACTCTGCTTTGCTACTAAATGGAGGTGGCCCCAGGACCCAAACCCACTGGGCCACTGGGAGGAGCCTGAGGTCTGAGATCTGAGGCCCTCGGTAAGAAGGGGACTGAGACCCCAAGGGGGAGTTTCATGGTGTGTGTGCACGTGTGCACCACCACTCTATGACCTACATACACGCGCACAATAAAGCATGTCCACTTGCAGAAGCAGAGATAACACAAACAACACATGCACATCACACGCACATCATGCCTGGACGGAGTGAGCTGTCGTGGTGAGGCTGGACCCATCTGGCCTTCCTGGGGTCACCTGGGCTCCTGCTCCGAGGCCATAGCTCCTGCCAATGAGGAAGCTGTCAGGAGCAGCGTCCCTGCCCACACGTTCTTGACTCTGAAACCACCCTATGGACAGAGCCACTCCTTCCACAGCGTGTGGTGCCCCGTGTTCAGGTCACCGCTCTCTTGCTCTGGTGGCCACATCGTGGCCTTCCGGTCACTTGTGCTCTGGACGAACCTGCTGACTCCACGCCTGCTCCCGCTCTGGCCCCTCACCCACTGCTGCTCTCCCATTCCCTCCTTCCAGGGCCCTCACCAGGAGACCTAGCCGTGTGCAAATGGTCTTCCATCTCACACATGCGACTGGCGTGCTGTCCCAGGGCCACCATCGCCAGGATGTCTTGTCCCCGCTGTCAGCCTTCACAGCACTGGGCTGGCTGTGGGCCTCAGTGCTGGTCACTGCCTCCCAGGGTTCTGCACAACCTTGAGCACGCAGTCACGCAAGCTTCCGGTCACTGACCCATCGCTGCCACTGGCCTCCCAGGGCTGTCAGAGATGGATTTGAGGTGCACTTTGTCTCTGCACGTGGTGGATTCTTCTCCTCCCCAGGGGCTCCCTGATGTGGAGCGGGGCTTGTAGTGTAGACCCCAGCTGGCCCTTGGCTATTACTAGTGACAAAGTACTGTCCCCTCTAAGACAGCTGCTACCTGAGCTAGATCACACAGTCATCCCTGCTTCACAATTATCAACCTAAATCCATCAGTTCTCAAATTGACAAATAAGAGCCAGAGTATGTAGTGTACAGCTGACGTGTGAGATATGTACACACCGACGAGTGTCCAGGTGTGCGTGGCTCCCAGAATCCTCTTCTGTGTGAGCGCACTGGACTGCTCTGCAGTACCCTGCACGAACACAGCAGATTGCTGTCAGCTACTGTCACCGCGCTGCATAATGGTCTCCAGAACCCATTCACCCTGTGAACAGCACCTCCCTGGCCTCCCTGTGCCCTGGCCACAGCGCCTTTGTCCCAGCCATTAGCCCTTGGAGCACTGGGCTCACTGTGGGCCTCAGTGCTGGTCACTGCCTCTCTCCTCCAAGCTGACTGCTGGACTCCACACAGGAGGGAGGTCTGGGGCCTTTCTCTTTCTGTGTTTGACACTGGCTGGATGAAACTGCCTGGTTCACCCACACCATTACAGATGTCAGGATCCCCCTTCTAAAGTGAGGAACAGGACTCCACTGTGAAGCAGTTGGCACAGGCCTTGCACACAAATCCCCCTTGTAGTCCAGTCTTCCTGCTTATGTAGGGGACTCACCGACCTCCTCGCTCACAGCGGGTCTGGCACCATCTGCCTCCCTTTGCAGGGAGCCGAGACACGGCACACGAGAGGTGCCACCACAGGGGTGTCCTGGACAAGTCCCCATGGCACCAACAGCCACGGACAGGAGCCTGCTGGTCGGAGCTTCTGTGTCTCAGCCATTGGTCCTGGTGGCCCAATGCAGGAATCTGGTCTCCTGGCCCTTGGTGGAGTTTCCGAGTGGCATCTCAGGGACAGAGAGCACAC